TGCAGTTCGCTTTCCAAGACAAAGTGGCCCTTATGAATGACTGAACTGGGCCCAGGTTGCCAGACACTTGCCTTGCCTCTCGTTGCTGTCTGTATTCCAGCAAAGGAAGGGTTAAAAGAGAGTGTTTGCAGAGGTCAGAGGCTGGGGGCCTCAGGGCAGGAATGTCGGGGCGGAGATGTATGATGCTTTTAAGTTGAAGCGAGCCGACACTGAGAGGTTTTTTGGTGGAAGTTTGCCAGGAGGAGCATTCCAGAGCGGTACAGTAATGCCACTCGGAATGCTGGGAACAGGGTGTGCTTTCACACAGATTTTGCAGTCGCACGCTTTGTTTACTTTTTCTTTCTTTTTTACCCCCTTTCTACCTCACCTTCTCTCTTTCTTCCCCTAGATTTGATATCTACAGGAAAGTACCCAAAGACTTGACACAGCCAACATACACAGGAGCCTTCAGTAAGTGTCCCGGCCCGGCTGTCATTTCCTGGCACAGTAACACACACGCACACACGCTGTCATCAAGCTAATAACCACCTCAAAGGTGACAGGTCTGAATGATTGGATTAGTATTCTTCCTTTCCCTGTGATGTTGGTTGAGAAACCCTCCAGCCAAAGCTTCCACTCTCTGTGACTATCATTGTTTCCATAACTGCCAGCCGAATTGATTATTCACCGATTAATATGTTCTAAACTATTTGATGTCATTGTTCCCGTTTCCCAGCTGTTAATCCCATTGATTACTCATTGTTGTAACACTGATGACACAACAAAACATGTGACCAAGACACACACTTAATGTTACGCAATCTCTTTCCAGACAGCACCAGTTTTTTTTTTTTGTTTGTTTTGTTTGTTTGCGGAAGTGGCTCATTCAATGTGGTGTCATGTGATGAGTGTTTTTCTCAGTGATTCCTGCATTGTGGGTGTGGTGCCAGGTATGCAAGCTCTCGTTTAGTCATGTTTGATCACATCCTCCATGGAAACAGACCTTCCTGGAGGCTAAACCAGATACCAAGAATATTTTAGACTAATGCAGTCCAATTTGTCAAAGATTTGTAACACACTTAAAAAAAAAGTCAGTTCCAGGTCTGTGACTTTTGATTAGGTTTCTGTGAAAGGTTTCATTTTTATTTTGATATATCCCTGTATTTTGTCCAAAGTAACTGTGAGCATTACAAAGACTATACCAAAGTTTGCTTTTGCTAATGGCAAGTGTGTTAGGTTTTAGTTAATCGAGACCCAAAATGTACAAATATCAAACAGTCAGGATTTAGGATCTGTACAGCTGTTTCTGTAAAATAGCACGGACATGACAAATAAGAGTGAATAAAGTAAATATTTGATTGGAAATTTTCTAACGAATAAAATGAATGTGTGGAATAGGACATTGTGGGTTGAACTAGCATTCAGCATATTCAAAATAAGGTCCTTCAACAAGTAGTTCCTCATTCAACTATCCAGAGGTCAGATGCTTTGTAAAGGCACTCGGTTTTTTGTTCAAGTGGGAGAGCTGAAGGGGTGCAGACACCTTACATGTTCAAAGAAAAAGACAGCAGAAAAACAGGCCGCCTGTCCTGACACCGTATCAGTGTCGACTTGCTCTCATGCTTACTCTTCCGTGGTGTTGTTTTGGAGTTAAAGATAGTAGAGACCAGAGAAAGAAAAGTAAATCCACCCCTCCCCCGCCACCCATTTCCACCTGAGAATGACCTGGGCGTGCCTTTGGTTGATTACAGATTGCGTAAGCATAGCCGACGTGGGGTGTGACACGCTGCTCTAGCATTATGGGAAATTTGCATAACAGCAATTGATTTGTCAGCGTGACAGGTAAGGTCTCTGGCAGGTAGCAGCTGATCAGCTGTATGTTTCTCACGTGAGGATGAGTGAACTCTGTGTGATATTCAAGAAAGGGGAATCGATCCGTTCGGACAGAGAAACACACCACACCGTGTAATGTCTCCAGAACATTCCCAGTTAGTGGCTTGAGGGCTCACATGCTATGCTCGTAATTCCTTACCTCATGTGAAAAAAGTCACTCTTTCTAAGGAAGGAAGCATGATAGCAGCATTCATAAACTGATATCCAAGTTGAAAAAACTCTCTTGATTTTGGACGGCGTCCTGTTTTATATTCACCTGAATTTTTTGGAACAACAAAAAAGATAACTTAATATTTGAAAAAGCATTACACAGAGACATTATAGTATTTTCACAGTTAAACAAGGTGTAGTGAGAGAATTCAGTGTGCACTGGGCAGAGGGCCTGTTTTGCATTTGAGCCGTGGCCGAGTGCCCTTGCGTCATGCTATCTGACACTCCAGGCTAATGTGTGCTCGGGGATAAACATTACCGAAGGGGAAACTGGGAGAAACCGCAGGACGCGTAATGAACGAGGCCCCGCTGCGCGGCACGTAACAGCACACTCTGTCACACCCTCCCCGTGCCGTGAGCCGCTGACTGGACCCACGTCACGCCGTCTCCCTGGCAACGGTGACAAGTCGCGTTGTAGATCATCAGTCACCTGTGAAATGCCTGTATACTTGGATTTGACTCACAGGAGCTGGTTTCAAAGTTTAGTCAAAGGGGGGACATTCCAAATGAATTACAAACGGACAATGGCTTTAATTAAAGTTGGGAAAAACACCAGCGGGCCTGCGTGTTAATTATAAATCTGGAACATCTACAGAGCCAAAAAAAACCCTTGTCAGAAGTCTTTACTTGTCAGAGTAATGGGTATTTGTCCCACACAACATAGTATTTTTTTATTATTGATAATCTACTGTTTGAAAACCTTGAAACTGTCCCATAAATATTTAAAGAGGCTAAATCATCCTCAGGAATTTGGACCCAGTCCCACACCAGTTAGGCCCATCAGTATTACCACTGTAATCCGGTTCTTCTAAAGAAGTCTTTTTCTTAGCTGCGTGGATTGATTTCACACAGATCACTTCACACATCTCAGGAGTTGTTTCTACTGAGCTCTGACTTGCCATGTGCTTCACATCAACAGTTACAAGACTTTAAAGCCAAGCTCTCACTCACTATAGTCTTTAAAGCGGGGAGGCAAAGAGTAGTAGCAGTAAACCCCATCGTGCTCTCCACATTCCAAGCTCTCTGTCTGGCCACCCGACCACCCCTCATTAAAGCGGCTGGACGAATCCTTGGCTCAGCTGATGTGTTGGTGCTCTCATTGCTGTTGCTTGTGTCGAGGCTCATGTCTTGCCAAGCAGACCTGATGAGAAACGGCGCAGGAATGAGAGCGGTCAATCAGTGCCGTTGCGATTGCACCATCAGCACGTCCTCATGAACATCCTGTGCCTTTTTGTGCAACGTCCTCGGCACGCGCTGATTTCAGCCTGACCCCATTACCGCTGGGTGGAAGGCCTCGTATCTACGAGGCCACAGGTCTGACATGGAAATCCAGCCCAGGACATCAACAGGATGACTCACGGCCATTAAGCTGAGCTGGGGAACAGGCCCTCGGAGTTCTGGCGTGGGGCTGATTCTCCGGTCAGCGGCAGACCGAGGGATGACGGTGCCTGTGTTTTTCGCTGTGGGATTAGGATGATGCGTATTGTTTGCTGTGACAATGGCGCCATAGCGGCGCCAGGGAAGATCACATCATTTTGTGGATAGGTGATTACGAAGCTCCTCGCTTCAGCCCCCTCCTCCCCCTCCCCCAAGGAAACATCCTTCCATCTCATTGTTGTGAAGGCGGCTCACCCTTGAAGCGGCGCTATGCCTGAGGATGTCATTGTGCACGGCAGGGCTGTGGTTCTCTTCAAAATGATTGGGTTGTTAGCCAAGCACAGAGTGGGGAGAAAGTGGTTTCTTGGTGTTCTCTGTCTGTACCAGGGTAAGGGAGAGGCACTGGTTCAACGTGTCCTCACTACAAGGAGCTGGGTCACATTGTCCTCCTTCAGTGTACAGTATTGCTAAATTATGTCATACATCAGGAACCACAGTAATGAAGATGACATTTTCCATACGAATATAAATACTTATAAGAAGGTAAATGTAAGAAACAATTAAATAGTGAAATAAAGGGGTATACAAACACTAAAAATGAACATTATATGGTCCCCATTGTCTGTTTCCCCCTTCCCCTCCTCATCGCAGCAACATGCAGCCTTGGCTCCATTCCTCAGTTCCCCTCTTACACTTGAGGTCAGGTAACCTCAACCTCAGTGAAACGCTGCCCACCTCACCTCTGCAGTAAAAAGGGCCAGCTCCTCGAGTCCTACAACTCCTGCACAACAAAGACAAGCACGTGGACTTTAAACTGGTTTATGCTTACCAGAGTGCCTATCTTATTTCAGCTGATTAGCACATGGGTGGAGGTGAAACTTGCCAAACGTTGCCCTATTACTTAAGATGAGTTGAGCTTCAGTAGTGCAAACCTCTCGGCTCTAGCTTTGAAAATCACCCGTATGTCGAAACTGGAGTTCTTCTCTTGATTATGAAAAAACGGAGCGAACCAGGTTGGGTAAAATTAAAGATTAAAACATCGGTAAAGCGTGTTTATTTAAAGCAAATGAGTAATCGGCGTGACTAAGCGGGCAAGCTGACAAGCCACACCTGTGATTCTGAACCTGCGTTAGTCCTCCTCGTTGAGTGTGATGTCATCACTGACTTAGTATTGGACAATAACTCACCATGGGGCAGATGAAAATGAGATGAGGTTCAGTGGGAGCGCACAATCTGTCCCATGACAGAGTTTTCGCAGAAATGGGGTGGGGGATGGGGTGGGAGAACAGTAAATGTGGCAGACTCATACCCCTTTCAGCTCCCTTCATTATCCATTGCATTTAGTCATTAAGCTGACTGTAACAGCTACAGCCAGACTGGCTTGCTTAGTCCATATTACATTACATTATTGTCATTTTATCAGACACTGTTATCCAGAGAAACCTACATGGGTTACGATTTTTACCTGTTGTCCATTTATACAGCTGGATATTTACTTAGGCATTCATAGGTTAAGTATCTTGTCCAAGCATACAGCAGCAGTGCCCCAGTGTGGAATCGAGCCAACAACCTTTCGCTTACGAGCCCAGCTCCCTACCACTATGCTATAAAGCTGCCCCAAGCGTATTCCACATGGATTACGCTTGGGGTGGCAGGTACTTCCAGGCAGATTCCAGGTGGTTTTCCATTATCCATTTTGATTTGTGCTGATTTGTGTCAGCTCATCGCGTTACTGGTGCTTGCTGACCTGTATGCAACCTGTGGGTGGAGTCAGGTGCGTCACTACGTTATCTTGAGACCTGTGGTAAAATTGAGGAGATAAGCATGTAAGGAAGAAAGGAGTCCCCCCCCGAACAGGCAGAGATGCACATAAGTAATAACGAGAATATTGAGTATTGGGTTTTCCCCTTGTCTTCACAGTAAAAGGTTCTCACCTTGTACTGCATTGTCCAGTTGTGCATGAGGTCATCTCAGCCCAGGCAAAAAGCCTGCATTCTGCATGCTACTGCCGCTGTTTGTGGGTAATGCAGTGGGAATGCGATTATGCTCCACTACAGCTTTGGTTCCAGCTCATACTGACCCAGTCACAATGGAAACATTCCACGTGGATGGCCTGTAATGTTGGGGCCACTTTAGCGACACTTCTAACCCTGAACCCTTTCTGTTTCCCTCCACAGTCTCCATCTGCTGCTGTGTGTTCATGCTCTTCCTCTTCCTGTCCGAGCTCACGGGATTCATAGCCACAGAAATGTAGGTATCCTCAGGCCCTTCACATCTCCCAGTCTTGCGATTTGTATGTGTGCTTTCAGTGTGTTATTGGCACGTCAGTTATTAATAACAAGTTAATAACTAATAATTACATGTTCATACTATCAGCTGATTAGATGGGTGCATTTGAGTGCCGTGTGTGTATTAGAAGTATTCAGTGTTTAAAGCAGTAAAGAACAGCTTTAAAGGATGCGTCATTCTTTCCTCCTACTGTAGTTCATGAGAATTTGTGCCTGAATACGTACAGCCTGATGGCTTTGGCGCCTTTTAGGAGTCCTGTTCTGGGATAAAGAACATGCTTTCAAACAGCCTTTATGAAAGTTAGGTGTGCATATTTGTTCTTCCCAAGTGCCTTGACAGACTGACTGGAAGAAGGTCAGTCTGTCGCTTTTCTTTCCCAGGGCCTGCCGTATATGTTAAAGATGCTTCCGTGTTGATAAATTTGCCTTCATGACTGAAGTGATTCCGTGTCCTGCCCGGTGAAGTGGCAAGTTGTTTATAGGAAAAAAAGGAGTTTGAGCTTACACAGTAGTCTGTTGCCAATGCAATACCTCCTTCCGTATAAATATTTAGCCTGGATGTTTCTGGCAACAAGGTAGGTAGGGGTTTGGATGTCGGTCAGGCTTTTCTTTAAACATTGTTTTATGACTAACCATCAAAGACATCCTTTTGAAACAGACCTTGAAAGGTGAACGTCCTTATTTACTGCCAGCCCTCGAAGAAGACAGTGACATCCAAACACCTCGGTTCGTTTACCGCGGTACAAATAAAGAACAGGGAATTAATCATGCATGAGAGGTGTTCTGGCCGCGGCCTCCGTAACGTTGACGGAATTCCGGTGAGCGAAGGAGGACAGATTCGATTCCTTTTCTCACACGGGACATTGACTTGGCGTGACGACCGCGCGATCCCTTTAGTTGATTAAGTAAGTAGAGAAAGACAGGAAAGAAATGTCTGGAAAGAAGAAACCTTGCTGTCATTTGTTTAGAAGGGACTGCCTGGATGGGGCTCTTGTTAGACCTGCGAGAGTGACGCAGGTGAAGTAATCATCTTTAGATAAAAGACCTGTGCGGTGTCTCTTGACCCTCTCAGAGAAAACTCCCACACGGTCAGACTGAAGGACTGTGCTGAACACACATCCCAAACTCATGGGTAATTCATACACATGCATAAAGATGAACATCTTTAAAAAAAAAAAATAGTATTACATTATTATAAGTATGATTATTACTAACTCATGATATTCCCATTTAGTTATTCCCTGTGCCCTCTTACACTGGGAATATAACATTGACCCATAACTCCAAAAAAGTAGTTTGTACCATTTCTCTTGGCTGTTGTGTGCATATTAGGCCTACATGTTTAAATACTTCTGTTCATTTGCTGTCAGTATAAATACCATTATGCCTAAATGTGAGGCCAAATGTTTGCAGCTGGCTAAGCTAATTGCGTCACATCATGGTATTTGAATACATTTTTGCATGGCACTGTTGCAATTCATGGAGACCTTATTTAGAATACAGCTTTTACCTAAAAACGGTTAGATGCTGCCACTGGTTTTGTCAGCAGATTTAGGGTGCAGACCTTCCTGTTTAGAGCGGCCAAATGCTTAAATCAATTTTCCTGTATTTTTGTGACAGGAGGCATTGGTGTTCAGCTGTACTTTACAGGTGTGGAACAATCTGGCTGCAAGCATTTACCTCAGGGAAAACCCATGGGTCTGACTTCATTGGTAGTTTATATATGCCACAGCAGCTTCTTCCCAGTTTTGTGTGTGTGTGTGTGTGTGTGTGTGTGTGTGTGTGTGTGTGTGTGTGTGTGTGTGTGTGTGTGTGTGTGTGTACACGTTTGTGTGTTTGTACGCTTTTGTGTACTGGCATGCAATTGTGTGTGTGTGCGTGCATTCTGTGACATGTTTGATGTTTGACCTCTCTCTCTGTTTGCAGAGTGAATGAGCTCTATGTGGATGACCCTGATAAAGACAGCGGGGGGAAGATTGATGTGAGTTTAAACATCAGTTTGCCAAACTTGAACTGTGATCGTGAGTATATATATACATATATATAAATACATCTCTCGCTTTCTTCCATTACATTTCAGTGCCTTCTGTCTTTCCTTTGAATTATTCCCCCCATTGTGTTTTGTTTTAAAATCAGTGGCCACCTGGAATGTCCTTCTCCTATCTATCTGAAAGATGTTAGCCTGGCCTACATTGTCCCTCGCAGACTGTGTGTGCACGTGTGCGTGTGTGTATGCATACGTGTCCTTGTGTGTATGTTGAAATCTGTCACGTCACCTGATCAATTAGCCACTCCTCCAGCCGATGTGGAACACTCTGTTTTAATGCTGTGATGCGGCTGCAATGTTACACAAGACTTGTAACAAGGTGATGGTAACTGAACTTTTTCAAGTTGGAAACGGCATAGAGGCATTTCTACAGGGCAGTTTGAGGACAGGTAGAGAACTGGACTACCTGAAACGCTTTCAGAGCCTCGAAAGACATGCATGTTTTTCTGTAAAAGAATAAACCTTAATTTGTTTGTATTTCAAAAATTAAGAATCCATTCTTATCGGGATCTTTTTCGTAATGATTTCTCATTTATTAGAAATTTAGCTTCTGCTGCACTTAAAATTGGGCAGTTCTCTTGTCCAGTCTCTGAAAGTCCTTGTCCTTACTTACAGTAACAAAATGACACAAGTACATATACACACACACACACACACACACACGTTTAGCTGGTGATATTCCAAAGTCTAAAGCTTGCCAGGGTATTTTGAGCACACTGGGTATGAGATCCTCATCTGGCAAGGAGCACCCAGTCTATAAACATCAGTATTCCCCTAGATATCCTTAAAATGAGACCAAACCTGGGATTGCCTGCTTAGGCGATGTAAGAGCAGCTGTTAAGCACAGACTTTTAAGGCGCAAATGCTGTAATCAAAAACGTGTGTTTCAGTTTTGGTACTCAAGTGGTGCCAGTGATCCAAGCACAAGTGGGTTCAGCGTGACTTTTTAGTAAGCAGAAGGTGAGACTGCACTGTCCAATCAGGATACATTACCTTTAGGAGAGCCTTTGTGCCAGCACAGTAATGTGCATCCTTATACGCACTGGAATATAGGTAAACGCTGTTATGTGTTGGAGTGGGGATTTGTGAAATTATAAAATAGAATTAAAATGCTTAACTTCACAGCTAAAGCAAAACTTAGCTAAAGATAATTTGGAATTTTTTGTACATAGTTCCTTCAGCTTTATATGGTGTCATATCAGTGCCTGAATTCACACGATGATTCAAAGGCAAGATTAATTAAAAAAAAAAAACAAAAAAAAACACTACAGTTCATTCATGTCCTACCTGACCTGTCCAAACAACATAGTGAAGCATTCTCTCACTGAATAACACAACATTTCACTATCGGGTGGCTGAAAGCTTGCTGTTCTGCAGTTTTGGGTACAGTGTATTAACCATGTGTAGCTGGTGTTCCCGGGCAAGACTTTCAGATGGTAGTCCCTCTGCAAAACGGCATAAATGTCAGTTAGGATAGAATGACACGGCAGCTCTTGTTGAGGGAGATGCAATCTTGGGTTCATAATGGCATATTGCATAGAACTGTAATAAGGATATGTTTGTAAAATGGTGTCTCATATATAGAACACAGAGACTGTTTTGTGCTATGCTTGAATATCATTATTGTAGGGCTATATTGTGATTTATTGACTAAGCTCTGAGGGATAGGTAATTAACTATCCAGTAACACTACAGAGGTTTGATTATCAACTTTCTATGTTGTAGGTATATTCTATTACAAATTTTGTATTTTTCATGTATTTATTGTATATGTATACATATATGAATATGTATATGTATCCTTAGTTGTAAATTTGTAGTTCTGAAAATGCTGAAATTGCACTTGTGCCTTACATCTAATCATTGTTTTTTTGGGCCCTCTAAATAGGGCTTTAGTCCTCATGTTGGTCTCTCATTTTACACTTGTGTCAGAAGGAAAGTATGCTGTTTGATTTGAATGCTTTCCAAGCCTTGATATTGACTAAAGCAAGGCATCTGGAACTAAAATACACATTTTCCATCTGTGTAAATCCATCTGCCTGAAACCCTTCACTTAAAGGTGCTAATGTGGAAGATTCTTAACTCATGGGGAATGTGAATGAGAAATATTATCCTTTAAATACCACTTCTCTAACCTAACGGGAAGAGCGACACTTGTAGAAAATTGTGTTTTAGTCACAGCTGCACAACTGAAAATGTGAAATGTCTAAATGCTGAAAATGACTTCCTTCTGGACATGCTGGGGTTTCCACAGTACAGACATTAAGATGTAAAGTCAT